AGCTCAAAACCTTCTCAAAAAAGTTTATATAAAAAAAATAATTGAGGTACTTTTCCCTCAATAGGGTCTTTTTGGATCAGGTTGCCTATGTGGAAATCATGAAGAAGTTAGTCAGGCATATCTGAAAATCTCCCTCGAACATTTTGGATGAAGAATACTGGCTAGAACATTTTAAAACCATTATGCTACTAAGCAGGGAGGAAAATAAAACATTAGCATGTGATATTTAGGATCAGCCTAGAATACTTCTCATTTGGTTCACTTCAGCATCTGCCTTCTTTGTCCCTACTTTTGTAGGCATTTACGCTATTTAGGAAGTTGGCTCAGGGGTATATCTGCAGTATCCAAGTTTCGATTGCAGGCTTTTGGGGACAGCTGCTTTCTCCCTATGTGCTTTTGTGGCACCAGGCATCTCGTACAACTGAGCATCTGTACAACTGGAACTACTCACAAGTAGGACATGGCAGATTCAGTATATTAGATCTCAAGTCCACAAACATCACGGTATTTGAAACAAAAAACCCTCAAGTTACTCCTGAAGCATCTTCCAAACTACATCACCATCTGTGGAAAGGAGTCAATATTTGAGACTAGTTCAAAACAGCATAGGGTAAAAGCTTTACATAGATAAGCTTACATATTTCTGCATCACACCAAAAAAAAAAAATTCAGTCATACGTGTCACAAACTCTTACAAATGCATGAAATGCTTGTATGACATTGGAAGTTTTGGGTAAACTCATCCATGTCAACAAATGTTAAGAAATGCATGCAGACACAGTAGAAAATGTAACTGGAAATACAATAGCAGATGAAATTCACCTTGGCTCTCACTATTATGAGACCTTTCTACACTTGTCAGCTTTTACTTTCAGCAACCTGGAAAAGTACTTGGTGTTAGCAGCAAACTGTCACTTTACAATACACCGATTTTCTAAACCATTTTGAACCTACTGAATAGTAGGCACTTGTTGACCTACACTTTGCTTCATTGTGAGAAACGATTTATCCTCTCAACCAGTTAACCCATGACAAGACCTTCACTTCTACCTAAGAGCCTTTGGCAAGAAACACTTTAAAAGTTTTTGAGAAACACAGTGTCACCTAAACCTAACCCATTTACACATCCTTCACAGAGCTGATTTGTGAGCAGGATTTTCCTCTAAAAAAAGCCAGAATGAGGATGAGTCAACATACCATATTTACAAATATGCACTACAGAACCTACCCATTCATGCAGTAACGCACTGTTTGAATGAGATCCTCTATCTCTTCCCATGTCTCTATGAAATACTGAACTGAGGTACAGGAATACTCGTGACATACAAAATATGCCAGCTATCATGCTGCTCTGCTCTAATGTATCCCCAGAGGCATTAACATCCCTCAGCATTTTGATCCTATTAAAAAATGCACACAACTATCAATTTACACCAACCAAAGTCTTTCCTACAGTTCACTTAAACTGTCCTCCTGTACTGAACTTCACCAAATTAGCCTTCAAAAGAGAAAGTTGCTGCTTGGAAACCAGAAATATTAGACACCAAAACATACACATTAAATTTCTCTATTAATTGACACTGGCCTAGGATCAAAATGCCCAAGCAATTACAAGGTTTGTTTTTTCATAACTATTTATTCCCAAATCCTGAAAAGGTCTACTGAACTACAACCACTAATAAACCCTGGAGACAACAGCATTTGTCAGAACATTCCACTTGGTTCAGGGTAAGAACCTTTAAAGGCTCTTAGACTTCACATGGTTTGGCTGTGCCTCATGCCAACTGATTCATAGAGCTGTTGCATACTCGAGCACTCCACAGAGGAGACAGAAGGACAGAAGTTGTGGGTACATTGAGAGGTCATGAGCTGCTCCAATGGTGCATCTCCTCAGAAGGATGCAGGCTTGGAGGAGAAGGATTCGACAAGGATTGCAGGAGTCCTGCTGGATCCATACACTGAAGGGATGGTGGGGAAGTTCTAATTGAGGTCTGTTTGTCCATCAGCAGCCGTGGCACATATGCTGGAGGTTCAGCCCAACACTGCAAGCAAGTCCTCCAGACCCCCCTTTTTAAGGCTGTAAGTCATCGACTACTCCAGCGGCGCTGTGAGCACCTTTTCCTGACATAAAAGGGGCTATGGAAGATCAGCTTTGCTAGTCTAACTGTTAAAAATCACAAATGCAACTTCAGGTGACAAAGGGACATTTCTCCAGCTCACTGGCAAATAAACAGCAGCAACAGAGTTTGCTAAAAAGATCACTCAAACTTTTCATAATGCAATGCCAATGGGAAGATGATGATAATCTGGCATTGCAACAGAAGCCACCGGTACCTTTACCCCAAAAGCATCACTGTGTCTTACCCCTACAACAATGCTGGATAAGATGCAACTTTTACCATGTTCTGCTCTTGTCCAAGCTTAATTATTGAGTGGCTAATTTAACCACCATCACTGATTAATTAGAACGGAAGAGCTAGAAGCAGAACAAGCACAATACAACACAAAACCAAGACTCAGTTCTACTGGAATCCACTGTGAATATTTTTTAAAATTCCATGTCAACAGACATTTCCTTTTAGCAAATTGTTTGTGAACAGCTGATGTCCCTATTAAAGAAACATCTGGAGTCTTTGTTTTTGAATTTACTTCTCAACATTTGAGATTGACCTTTTCTTTTCTAATCAGGTTTTATCCAGATCTCTTTAGGAAAAAAAAAAAAAAAAAAAAACCACACCACCCCCGCTCGTTCGCAAGTAGAGCCGCCGCCAGTTCACTGTACCTCAGTAAGTCACCAACACCCCAGCCAGTGCCTTGGCAAACCTTCTTCTGAACTCCACTGCAGACTACATCCACACAGACAGTCCTTCTAGAACTCCATTTCTAAAGCCACATGCATTTCTTTGTGCTTCTCTCTATTAAGTATGTCTCTTCTTCAAAATTACCCATACATTCAACTCTGAACTCACTTTTTTTTTTTTTAAATTCCCCAATTTTGCTTCCTCTCAGCCCAAGACCCTTCTCATCTTCCATTTAAATTTCCTGACCTTCCATTGCACCCTGTAATGTTTTTTTCCTCCAAAATTCCTTCATAGCCGCTTTACTATATCAACTCACAACTTTCTACTGTCTCCTCCACAGTCCTCCTTTGCATATCCCTTCTTTCTTCCATCCCAGCATTACGCTGCTAGAGTCAGACATGTGGAACTAGAAGAGAAAACATACGCTGCTCCTGGCACTGCTGATGCCTTGCATCCCAGCCAGGCCTCCCAAGCTCTGCAGAAGCTCAACTGGATGAGGCAGGATCCCAGCAAGAAAGGAAATTAATCCCTTAAACACCAGAACTACCCACACTGGTTTGTGCAAGAAGAAAACACGGTAACTCCTTTTTTGACAGGAGGGCCCTATTTCACCACATCCTGAGTTAAAGTACAAACTAAGCAGCTACAAACCAAGAAGAAAACTGATAGAAGATACAGTTAAAATTGTTGTGCCTCTTTTTCTATTGCTGTTCTTCACTTTCTCAACCACCTTATAAAGGCAGCCAAAGGGAAGGAAGGACTAGCTGTTTATCTTTATCATATAGTCGACAAAAGAGATGAATCCCAATTTCCTCTCAGTAATACGTCACACGCACACCCCTCCTTACCTTAAGGATGTTAAGGTAAGGTAAGGATGTTACTGTTGGGTAAACAGTGAGAAAAAACAGCAAAACCCCATGGTTCAGCACAAACAGAAGCAACACAAGCCCAGCCTACAGGACTGGACCCTGGAACACTAAATCCAGCTTCAGCATCATATCAGTAAACATATGAGTAGCCATGAGCAGTTATGAAAGGATTAAAAAAAACCAACTTACAATAAGAGGAAAAAACCCAACTTACAAGGATATAAAATGTAAGGACAATTTTACCTTTATCCAGCTCTATTATGACAGATACCGGAATATCATGTTCAGCTTTGTTATTGCCCATTTTGCAAAGGATGTTAGAAACAGTAAATGCATGACACGCACAGAGATTCGAAGGCTACGGGAAGTGCCTTACTGTGAGTTTTTTTTCAGCTCAGGTTATTTGTCCTACTTGATTACAACTTCTAAACACCTCTGCCAGGAAAAAATGGCAAAGCTAAAGTGTTATTTAATCTGGTACAGACGCTCACAAAATAAGCTATGACAAGAAACTGGAAAAATACAAATAGGAAATAAGATGTTTTTCTACTTTTTTCAAGTAGCTGGGGAAATCAACTCCTGAATTTATCAAAAAGTGGTGGAAGCTCCGAACTTTTCATACCTTCAAGAGGCTGCAAGAATTTCCCGAAGTTATGCTCTGACAAACAAGTAACGAACTCAAAACACAATAACCACATGGAAGTTTAACATTTCACAGTATACAGTAAAATAAGTTACACAAGCCAAAGGTCTTGGACTTTTTTTGTTACCTCCTATAACCCAAGCTACATTCATTTTAGAGGTTTCATACGTCAAATACTGAGCAAAACAGGCCAAGGAAAATGGTTCAAATGAATACCAAGGAAGTTCTCGGGATTGTGTGGCCTTTGGCAGTTACCCCATCCTCTACATTTCCATCTGTTAGTTGTCCGTTTCTAGTCACATTTTTTACAGAAACTAAAAAAAAAATAAGCTATTTGTTTCTGAAGCCTAACACCGGCATCAGGTCTGAAATGCTTATTAGTCAGTCTGGTTGTTCAGTCCTATCAAATTATTTAACTCATGTTCTACTCACTGAACTATTTTTTGGCCCATCAGTCAGCTGCTCTTGAGAAATAAACCTTTCCCCTCCAGTAATCTTCACAGTTCAAATTCACATCCATCTCACATTTTCCCAATGTAAGCATTTCAAAAGTCTTCAGAACTTGAAGGTCTGAATTTTGTGGCTCTCACTGCACGCTATACATCAATACAAGCTCTTCAAAAGCACGGCATTTTTCTGTGCAACAATTCATACAATACGAACAATACAGACATTTGCAAAACTCACCTCCTTCTCGGTATCCCTGGATATACAGGTCCACTGGTTTTCCTTCACACTATATGCCCAGAAGTCAGCCAGATCCTGAGTTCCATCCCAGCCACCAAACAAATAAACAGTTTCTATTTAAAAAAAAAAGTAAAAAGGAAGAACATCTTAATTTTATTTTAAGAGAATGCCTTTAAACAGGCTAATACCTACAAAACATCTGTGACAAACAGACAGACAATCAGAAGGGAAACTGAAACCAATTCTTACTTAACACAACACTCCTCTTTGAATGGAACCAGTCACCAGGACAAAGAGACATAGTTTGGTTTAGTAATGGAAATTTTCAGGATTGATCAATAGCTAATTCTCAATAAGCCATTTTCTTTTTCTACATACACAGAAGAGGAAATCAAATCCACAGCCTTCTGATTAAAATTCAAGCAAGACAAATGAACAATATTTAACACTTTGGATACTGTGCATTTTAGACTATCAAAGACATCACAGCTTGTATCCCATTTGGTCTGTAGACCAGAAAGACTTCTGAGATAGCAGCAGCAAAGATTAGTCCTTGCCTTAGAAAGAAAAAATTTACTTCGACGATGAGATTCCAGAAAGACTTCTGAGATAGCAGCAGCAGCAAAGATCTTCTGTTTAGTCCTTCCCTTAGAAAGAAAAAGTTTACTTTGACGATGAGATTGTCTTCAAGGGAAATGCCTTGCATAAAGTAACTCACCTGATGCCACAAAAGCAAGTAAGGAAGTGAGTTACAGATTTAAGTCAGTGTTTCAGGCCCATCTTTAGAGCCTGTTACCTTGAACCCACAACCACTCCGTGCACAGCAAGCTCAAAGGCTTCTCAGACTTGCTGATAAAACTAGATGAAGCCTCTGAACATGGGAAGCATTTAAGGAAGAAGTCTCTTTTCTGACATGGAGAGATAACTAAGCTGCTCCTATTATAGAAACATCACTATCTGGTCTCAAATGCTAAAAATACTTCATTTTTAGATTGCATTAAAACACAACACAAAGCCAAGTCCAAGAACAAGCCACTGAAGACTTGCAGAGCTTTGAAAAACTCCTTTAAAATCCACAAACCAGTTCTACTATGGAGGTAATGGCCAATTTTTAATCCAGCACCAATTAAAGAGCAGAGTTAGAAGCACGATTATAAAATGGGAATAGTCCCTGACCCTTACCTACCATCAGGATAGTGGTCATCACCATGGAAAGGTTACCTTGGTTCATTAACTTTAATTACCCTTCCTCCTGGACTCAGGGCTCCCTGTGTTCCCTGCAAAGAGCAGGTCCCTTTGTGCACATAAATTCTCACAGCTCACAAAACCCACATTACCACAACAGCTTCATTGATAGCCGAGAAAAATAAAAGATTTGGCACCAGCTAAGTATCCTATTGGGGCCTTGCCAAAACGTCATGCCTGCCTGTAAAGGCTTTGTGGTCTCAGATGAAATTTAATAGCAAACCTGAATGAATCTGATGAAAACTCAGATTTTGAAAGTTACCTAAATCAAGCTGACAGAATTAAATGGCATGTAAGCACTGAAAGAGGAGTACAATCATACAGCTAGCGTGAGCTGTGAGCATCCCCGGAGTCCAAGACCAACCGTGATAACACAAGTGTACACGAGCAGCGTGCCAAATTTATTTCTCATCTTGATGTAAAACAGTAGCTCAGATGAAAGAAAGGCTCCATCACTACCTAGGCTGAGAAGGGCTATCTTTTTTTTTTTTTTAAAGTCTTATTCAGAACTACACACATTTTTGTAGGAAGTTTCTGTATTTTTAAAGGAACATTTCTTAACACATAAATGTATCTGTTGCTGGTAAAGTCAAGAAAACATTTTTTTCTTCTAAAGTTTGCAATTGCTCTCCCATGATGTAAGGAAAAATAGTTTGGGGGTTTTGTTTTTTTGTTGTTGCTGGGGTTTTTTTTTGTTTGTTTTAAACAAGTTGAACTCCACGCTGTTCCCCAACCAGTACCACACTTTCTGCTCTATTTGTCAGTTCAAATTTTGTGGGGAGGATTATTGTTTCATCCTACGTGCAGGATAGACCCAAGATGCATGCCCAGCACTCCCAGACACTGTCACCTAAACAAGATACCAGAAAACACTCAAAGAAGAGGGCAGACACATAGAAGAGACCACAAACTTCCAGGCAGCAGGAGTGGGAAGCTTGAGGGGAGCACAGCAGTCTCGCATCGATATAACTATTTCTACTTTACTAGCACTAGGGAACTCAAGATGCAAGCAGGGCATCTTGCTCTGGCAGAGGGAAGGATTTTTCCTTTATATCTGAGCAATATGTAACACAGCAATATCGATGCTGCTTTATTTAAGCAAGTCTCTCTTCTGCTTTAGGGACAGAGCAGAAGAATTTTCAAACCTACCTGCAAGGCAACAAGGAAAGCATGAAAGGAGTTATATTTATCCAAAGCTTTTACCAGCCACATTTAGGAAGTCAAATTTGTCCTCCAGCATCTTAACCTTATCTCCTCTACATTTATTTTGAATACAAATTCAACACTTTGAATTAAATATGTTCTGCGAGTATTTCCAAACTGCTTGCTCAGTCAAAAATGTTTCTAAAATGTCTGAATTCTTTTCTTCGCTTACTCTCTGGAAGACTAGAAGGTGCCAGAGCATTCCTGAAAGTATTAGAGAACATATACTCCCAAAAATTACTGTTTCCTGTCAACCTCTCCTTAAGTTCTATTTTTCAGAGGACTACAGAAAGCAGCCTTTCCAATCCCTGTTAAATACCCCAAATCCTGGGGTAGTTTCAGTCTAGGTTCAGGTATGTTCTCAAAATCAGCTTTTCTAACTTCTTTTAACTCCCATCTTCTCTGTGTGGAGAAATCCTTGGTGGGATTCTTGGTGGTCTCCCTCATCTGATCAGGATGTTATGCTGCAAATTACTAAAGCCAGGTGAACAAAAGATGCTTGGTACGCCTGAGCATCCCTGTTTTTACCTTCTAATAAACAGGCACAATGAATATATTCCAATCCTGGTCACATATTTAACTAAACACATTGGTCAAATGGTATTTCCATGTCTCTGCTAGAACAGTTCTCCAGAGAATATGAAAGAATTACTGACCTAAAACACCTCTGCAAGTCATTCGGTCCATCAGTCCTCTGCCAAAACCTCACAGTACGGCTAACTTTAGTGACAGACCAGGTTGCACAAGCAAGTATTCTTATACATTTTCAGTATCACCAAAGATGGTTACTTTAGACTGTCTGGACCCTACTCCAATGACTGATCATCTTCATTACGATTTTATTTTTCCTAAAATCCAACTGGAATTTCCGTTGTTGCAATGTGTCCATTGCCCTTCATCCTCTCCCTCTGCACCCCCCAAAATGAGTCTGGCTATCTTCTTCATGCTCTCCCACCAGCTAGTTGAAGACAGCTCTAAGATCCCTCTACATGCCTTTTCTTCTGCAAACTGAACAAAACCAGCTCACTAAGCATCTCCTCATACACTATGTGCTCCAGCCCCCGACCACCTTGGTGGCCCTTCACAGGTCTTCAGATTGTCAGAGCGCCCAAACTGGGTACAGTACTCCAGATGTGGCCTCGAGTACCAAATAGAGGGGCACCATCACTCCCCTTAACCTGCTGGCTGTACTGCTAATACGGCCTAGCAGGAGGTTGGCCTTCATCGCCACAAGGACACACTGCTGACGCGCATTCAGCTGTCTACCACCTTGCAAATCTTCTTTCCACACAGTCAGTCCCCAGCCTATACTGTCGCACGCAGCTGTTACATCCCAGGTTCGGAGCTCTGCATTTGTCTTGGCTGAACCTCACAAGGCTCTCCCTGCAGCTTGTCAGTGTCCCTTTGACTCCTAGTCCTAATTCTCTAGTTCATCAACCACTGGCCTCCTACTTTGCTACCACCCCAAACTTACTGAGTGCATTTGAGAATCAGTGATCCTAGAATTAAGAAGGACTCATCTCAAAAGTAAAAATTCTAGGCCTAAGATACCTCAAAAGCTTTCTACAGAAGGACGTCACTTCCTTACACAGTAACCATAGATTTAGTTATCTGCAAGCAGCATTGTCCACTTCATAAGGACCACTTAGAGCACAATTATAAAGCCAGACCTTACATTATTCACGCCACTCAGTTTCTGAATCACAGCTCAGTGTACGTGGTGGCTGGCTGTAAGTTTGTTCAGGCTAGGGCTGGTCTGTTCTGGGTAGGCATACAGTCTTCCTCTCAAATGTGAAAGCACTGTGAAGTTGAGTAACCTCCAGAATTCAGCAGCTGTTTGTGTTTCAGAGCTTAGAAGCCATCTGTGTTTTGTTTCAGAGATCTCTTCATCTTGTACACAAGTCCTGTCTTTAAATATCTTATGGATAGCAATGTTTTCCTCAGGCAAAACAGCATCCTTCTTCATGTCTGCTGCTCTCACTCCATCTTTTTCGTCTTTCCGTGCTGCTTTTGAACCAGCCTTATCATTTCCACTGCATTGCCCACATATACTATGGGCACACTGTGCCTACTGCTCCGAATCTCCCACGGTACCCAACCTACAGTTTTGTTCTCACTTATCTAATAGAATGAAGTAAGTAGAATTCCTTTCCTACAAAAGGAAAAGCAAAATAACATACAACCAAAATTACAGAGTGGTTTCACTTCAGTGAGTGAACAGCGGTAACCCATCAATAAGGACCATTTCACTAATATTTTCCTTCAAAAAATGTTTCACTTCTCAAAGAGAAGACAAATGCAGAGGAAAAAAAAAATCATGCTGGTTGCTTAGCTATTTTTTCTAAATAGCTAAAAAACTATTAGAAAACTTCAGAAGGCTTTATCTAAATGAAATAAAAGATGAATGTTTAAACAAACAGGATGTATCAAGAAAATTTTTTTTTAAGAGAATTATTTTTATGTAGTCCATAATTCTGTTACCAAAATAAATTGCATGGCTTTACAGCTACACTGTCATACACATAAAATTGCGTCTGCCTTATAAGAGCAGAGGAGATCAATTCCACCTTAACTATGGAATTGTAAACCAAACCTCCAAAACACAGTACACACAATCCTCTAAAGCACCGACATTATTCCTTAACACTTGAATTTGGCAATCCACTTACCCATTCTCACTTTCTTCCAGAATAAGCATTGGCATTTCAAAATGCATGCCATATCTGCATTATAAAAAGGCCTGAGAGGGCATAATCAAAGTTATGTTAATGAAGGCAACAATGCCAGATGTCTACATCCTTATCCAAAACTGCATTAGGGCTTAACGCAAGCTTTCGTTTTACTGCTTGAGTATTTCACCAGGGCCCATGTAAATAGTAGTATAGCTTTTCATGACTGACATTCAGTGCACTTAACACAGTCCTTGTGTAATTTTGGGGTTGTTTTCACTATTGGTGTTTTGGGGATACTTTTGTTTAATATATGCACCTGGGTTGTGACTACCCAAATACTTCCCCTTCCTTCTACAAAAGTGCAGAAAACTCTCCAGCCTCCAATATGGAGAACTACATAAGACATGCACCTTGCAGGAAAAAGCAGAAATAACATAAGCCTTCTGTTTTCCTTTACAGTCTAAAGCTTTAAAGTACATAACAGTGTTTTCCAACTATAACCGGGAATGCCTCTTACTAAATATTTGTGCATATGGATGCCAAAACCAACTTCCTAAGTCTGCCATCCAGAGTCATTCCAGTACGAGTGTTAATATGATTAAAAGCATGGAAGACACTGTGAGAATCAGCAACTCCCAGATTTTTTCATATAGGAAGATATTAGACTGCATTCTCAGTTCTGTATCCCCATATGCCTGTGCTTTGGTTTCAAAAAGTTTTAAAAGTTTTTCAAAGCACCAAGAACACTACACTTATTCTAAGACAGCTGCAGCAGGTATTAAGAGTGGGAACATCAGATAGAAATAAGCTACAGTGCAAGTTACTGGTTGCCAGCAGAGATGCCAGAATGGCTTTCAGCCTACCCTAATTGGAAGATAAAACAGGCCAAAAGGCCGTTTAGACCAAGTTAAACTACATTCTACCTGAAACAGAGCATAAACAGAGCCTCAGTGAATCAACTCACCATCAGTAACTTCAGACCTAGCTCAACTACTCACCAACCCACATCCTCTATCCTGACACTAACGCATGCACGTCCAGCAGGCACAGTACTACTACAAAACCTAGTAACAATAAACTTACATTTTTGTAGTTAGTAATAACCAGTTGATATTTCCTTGAGGTTAATCAAAAAGCAAAACCATTTATAGTTCAGTTATAGCTACAGCAGGTCTGGATACTGGAGGTTAAAGTTTGCTTCCAAGTCCTATTCTATGTAATACGAAACTTCAGAACCTCCTATGTATACGATTTTGGTGTTTCACTTCTTTTCTAAAAGATTAAGTTTGAAGAAATTACTAATTTTTGAATGAATATTTTCACCTCTCTAACAAGGAATGCAAAGTGAGCTTATTTTTCTTTAGTTTTCAAAGACTTCTGAAAAAAACAACAAGTCCGTAAGGAAGGGAGGATGTCTTTGATGGAAAGAGTACGCTGCAGCTCCTTTTTCCATTAACACTAGATTTGCTCAAGGTTAGCCAAGGAGCTTTACAGCTCCAGTCTGTAAAACACGTGCTGACATAACTGCCCAAATTCCCACAGTCTCTTTAAACACTATCTGTATTCAGAGGGAAAACTCAAGCAACCAGCAACAGCTGGTTTTAAGAAGACAAGCACCAGGAACTTCCCCTGGCCTGTTCATCAGCCAAATTAAATGGCAAAACTGTTAATCTCAAAAACGTTTAGCCTCTCACAAGCCTCAGTGGGCCTGGAAGCAAAACTAAGGGCAACTTCCCAAATATGCCACAGAGAAAATTTCTGAAGGTATCCTTCCACCACTGGATAAAGCTGCAGCAAAAAAAAAGGGACGAGCATGGCAGAGGGAGATCCGGTTCTCCCACATTGGGAGAGCACCATAGGTGCTCTCCAGCCAGCTTTGTGTAAGTAAAAAAAGGTATTGACGCTTTTTACTGCCTTGTTAAAGCAGCATGAAAACTTAAGTCAAAGGAAGAGATAAACTTCCTAGAACTTAAGGCAGCCAACCAGAATGCAAACGAAGACTCACACTACCATAATTTTATTATTTTCAGGAGGTCTAAAGGGCTGTCATTTCCAAGTTGACAAGCCGTACGTTTCTTTGCCGTGCTTGTGAAACTTACTCCCTGTCTACTTACTCGCCGAGGCCACTAGGGAGCGTTCACAGCTTCTTTTGTAGGCAAACACCAGCAATCCTCCCGCAGCATTTTATTCTAATGAATCTCAAACCTCATCGACCAAAAAAAAGTTTGCTTTCATATACAAAATATCTCGAGTGCTTCCTCTACAGCAGTAACTACACTGAGTACAAGCCAGACTGTAGCTAGTGCAGTATTTTTGCTTGTTCACTATGACTTAGCAAATTACTCTTGAAGGTACTGTCCTGTCACATGCTTCAGTCCCCGTCCATATGACCACAACAGATACGGCGATGGTAATTTTTTTGCTGACTCCCCTCAATGCCACTCTATATTCCTCTCTGCAACTCACACCCTGATCTTGTTTCTCCTTTCCTAAGAACAAGTCTTTTGCTCATACAAATCATTTACTCAGCAAAGATGCAGTCAGATGCATTCCTTATTTTAGTAAGGAATGACGTACCACAGAAATCTGATTAAATAAAGCAAGACAAAGATATAGAAAATTAGAGAACAACAATCACCAGAACCGTTACTTATACCCTCCCCCTTCTCTTTTCTCAGCAGGCTCTTTGAAACAGAGGCTGAACCATTCTTTAAACTGCTATAGGAAACATTTTCATAAAAAAAAGTCTAACAAATTTTATTTAACAGGACTTTCTTGCACACTGGAAATTAGAAGCCATTCCAACCAAAATACAAAGAATGTTTCAACACCTAAGATCTACTGCTTGAACACTGTTCTAAAGAGCACAGTATGTAGCACATAAGGGAAATAATCACCCCTAATTTCTCTTCTCTTGTTTAAGCTCCTGTTTAAAAGAGGGTAGGAGGGACAAAATTAAAAACAATTGTTCTTGGTTTCTTAGTTAAGACAATGACTAAGGAAGGAGTAACACAGAACTAATAAGGAAGAAGCGGGGTGGGAAAAGCAGTTGGAGTATAGTTCCAGAGATTACGCAAAGTATTTAACCTGACTATTAAAAAATGAAATTTATTTCCTCAAAACCTGTGGTTAAGACTGTCTCTGAAGAAAAAAAAAAAAAAACATTTTAATATTTATCTGAACATATCTGATTAAATAATTTAGTTCAGAAATTTAGCACCTCCTCACCTGTCTGAACATCTATAACCATCTGATGGCCACCTCTCATCCCTGGTCGGCTGTCTTCCCCATCACCTTTAAAAAAAAAAAAGAAGAGGAGAGAGGGAAGAGTTTTCCTTTATAAGATTTTTAAACCAAAGAAAAATACAACCTCACATATGGCCTAAACACTATATGGAAGCAGAGCAACTTAGTTACTTACCGTTCTCTAAACAGTAGCACAACACTTTTTCCAGGTAGTATTCATCTATGCATTACAAAACTGTACAGATTTTTATATTGAATTATCTGGTGACTGATAGTACAGATAGCTAAAGTGAATACAGTACTCTACTGCAATTCTGAGAGCCTTGGAAAGGAGTTTGAGAGTTCCAGAAGCATGCAGGTCCACATAAATGAAGTCTGAGCTATCTTTGCAGCTCTCCAGCGGAGAAGACACAGACAACCTTTTGCTCCCCTTCCGCCTCTCCCCACCTGAGAGCTGCCTGAAGGCTGAGCAGTGAGAACAGATACTCAAATGACAGGGCAACGTACCCGTGGGATGGAAGCCAAGAGGCCATGGTACAGATACAGCATTGCTAGCTTTGCACCAATTACTTATTCACACACATAACAGAATTCCAACTGTCCAGTTAAAGCAGCTTTCCAACCACTTTAGATTTCTTAAGCATTCAGGACAGGTATCATCTACAGGAAGTAACGTTTAGAAAGATAACCCACATTCTGCTGGAAGAGAAATCTGCTTGTATTCATAGAGAATCCTTCCCAAGAGGTTTCGGTACAGTACTCCACGTTTGGCAATTATCACCTTGAATTCTACATTTGCTGTATGACAGTGATTTTTGTATTTTTTTAGTCAAGGCTGCCGCTACGAGTCTCCTCTCAAGGCAGGAAGTAACGGAAAAAGATTCTGCAGTTTATATTTACTGTATAACAGACCAAGACTTCAAAAGATGCACCTGAAATTTAAAATACTCCCTGTTAAGATAATGTCTTTATTTGCCAGTCTTTGCTGCACATTTGACTCCATGCACTAAATCCAGTCATACAGGTAACTGCTCTCATACTTACCCTATTTTCTGAGATTTGTTTCTAAACCAATTAGCTATCCTTGAAGTTACAGCTAGTGTTCCTGTAATGTTCCTTGCTCGACCAGAAACCCGGTTGCATTTCACTGACTTTGCAGACAAATGCAGATTTGTCAGTTGACAGAACAACTGTCCTAGAGGAAGCTTTCTTGCATCAGTTTCTTGCTCAATATCCTCAAAGGAACAACACAGAACTGGTAGCACATGGGTTATATCTTTAGAAATGTCCTTACCTTTGGAGCTTTTTGGGATGATCTGCCCCCAGCGAGGTTTGTATTCTTGTTGACTGATATACTGATTGAATAAGCCATCTGCAAAACAAAAATTTTGCTGTGTAAAACATTTCTACTTCCACTATAGCAGAATCACTTTTAATGCCGGTAACTTCAGCCTAGCACAACCCAGCGTGCTACTCCAAAGCCCTAACTTTAACTAAATTATCTATATATGTCAGTTAGTTTGTTAAACTCGTTAATGAACTAACTGTATAAGCACAAAAATAAAAAGAATACTTGTTACGAGATCAATCAAGAATTACCCAGTTTGCCTGCCAGGTCATGCCAACTGTCTATAAGTCTCCAGTGTGGTGTATTTAATTAAGAATAGAATCCCTCCCCCTTAGTTAAGCAAAAGGAAAGTTGCCAGTACATGTAAAATTCAACCATTTTAATACATGTTAAGTTAAAACTAGGTCAGGCAGCATCTCTAGAGCTTCATCTAAGAAGAAAAAGGAAGAAAAGCAGATTGTTTAAATGCTACGATATGGGACAACCAAGCACTGGATGGAAAACAAAATAATAGTTTACATTCTCTTCAGAGAGTTAAGCAAGAAGAGAAACAGAAGACGCATTAGGTCACTGGCCAGATATGCCAACTGCAGCATTTCTGTAAGAAGCATTAACTCCAGCACTCTATCCACATTCCTCTTGTGCCTTCCTCTCTCCCTCCACGTACCTACCACATTTCACCTCTTCAGCATCGAGAGGTCAGTTCCTAATTTTGGTTATGTGTTATCAGTCTATCACATAAATGTCAAATTTTTGAAAAGGAGATTCGTAACATCCACGCTTTCTGGGACTGCTCTTCAAGTCTGGGAAAGGCTTAGCAAGCATTTGGGGAACTTGTTGCTATTGCTCTTCAAATGTCTCCTCTATAAAACCTACCCTACCTTCTGGAGGCACAACAAACTGTCAGACCGCTACTGGCCAGCCTCTTGACCACTGCTCACCTGGCTACATCCCACCCATCACCCCACCATCTCAAGACACTAGCTCTTCCTGACAAGCATTTGTTCCGCATTTATGCATTACCTGAAAAAAAAATGGGAGTTCAGACACCCAGTTTACATCACTAGTACAGTAATAACTACCACAAGCAGATTGAGGACTGGAATGACAGATTTACACAGTTTTGTACTAAAACAGTACATTGCACATACACCACTCAGATGCAGGATGCATTCAGGGATCCATAACCACGTAACACTCAACAGCTATGCTCTTTGGTAGAATGGTACCCGGCAAACTTGCTCAGGAATCAGTTTTACATTCCCCAGCAGAGAAAGGAAAATTAAATTACTGAATTGCATCTAATAGTTTTTAGTTCTTCCAACCCCTGTAATTGTGGCTTTGAGGTAAGAACTTAACAAATTGTGAATGACTATTTATAGAAAATCCCTTGGTAGGCATACAGACAAAAAAAAAAGAATCCTTACTGCACATACCCTTATTTATTTACAAGAAGGTAAAATCTTTGTTACAGACGACACAATTTTCAGAGACTACTTTAAAGCATTTCCTGGCACCTTGTAGTTTGTCATGACTGAAATCCAGGTTTTAATTAAAACCCAAGCCAGCAAGTATTTCCTGGGAGAAGATGAATACTCTATTTAGAGACCATCTAATAGGAAAATAAGGGCACTCAAGAGCTCCTGAAAGGTGCTGAATTTGGTCTTAAAATACAAAACTGCTTTCAAATATCATAAACTCAGCTCTGCAAGTTTTTCAAATTAAATACTCTGTGAAAGCAGGGCAGAATTTACTGTCACATGTCTTAGAGCCAAAAACATCAGCTCTCTCTGAGGCATTAGGTAATTGAGGAAAGCCAAAAGTGTGCTCAACATATACAGAAAAGCATTTTATTTTGGTTTTAAGAGTAGGGTTCCTAATATCCATTTCTTTAGCCTTTATGAAGTTGGGACAAGACGCAAGAGGCTTTAAGCATGAGATTTCATTAATTCTGATTCAGAAAAGCCTACGTTCAACAGAACAAATGCATGCGCTGTAAGAAACCCATACTGACTCAGGCACATTTTTCTAGCCACAAACCTAGACAGAAATCCAGTCTTTTGGTTATCATTAGAGCATTTGGTCTTCAAGACAGAATGCAGAACCGTATTTATCCCTATGGCAGCCAATAGATAATTGGACATAAATAGCTCAAGAGGATGAATTACACCACATATGATCTGAAAGGGTGATTTAACCTCTCTCCCATGCTCAACACCCACAGGCTGCACTTGTCAAGATGTGACGCTTCTCCCCTACTGTGCCTTCAGCCTCTTTTAATAATGCTTCTTGTCTTCCATGGGACATTGGTTTGGAAATGCTCCAGCTTGCTTCCCAGAAATGTTTCTTTCTGCTGGGAGCAGTTCCACATTCATTCTACTTGCACTGCAAATCAGCAGCAGCTTGTTTTGAAAGCTGAATCACCACCTGTCTGACATCACCAGGGGAAAAAAAAGAGAGGATTTCTAGGTGGATTCTGTATCTGATGCCAGACCTATTCTAGCACACTCCTCCTGTTTCTTGCCAGGGTAGCACTGCTGACCAAAAGGTCTCCAAAGCTTCTGCAAGGCTCTGAAGATCAGATCTAGGCCTGCTCAGGTTTGTCAGCTGTTTCCAATGAACCAGTAGTTTAAAATAAATTTCAAGACTCCTGTAGAAAAAAAAGTGTTAAGTGCAAGTGTTTAAAAGAAGTCTTTTCCTTCATTCCAGAGGCCCCTCGTTTCAATGTCCATGTTTACTCTCTAAAATGGCGACCAAAACCAGTACTTTTATTTTGTACTATTTTCAAACCCTTCACAGCAAGTTGTGATGCATTTTGGATGTAACAACATGAAGTTCACAGTGGTTAAAGCCTAGCAAATTCTACCTTCCCGATAAGCAAAGCTTTTATTTTGTCAGCCAATTACAGGTTACCTAGAAAGGATTAGGACAAACATTGTGGACAAAAATATTTAACTTGCTGAAGCCAATCAGGAACTTGTAAAAGTTTCTTTCTAGACAACACACATCTCTTGACAGGATTACAAAAATCTACTCACTTCACTGCCAATAGCCGAAAAAACTTCAGAGTGGCATTTAGCCCATAATTTCTCAGTGTCGGGGTTTGTTTTTTTTAAGATTTTTCTTGAACCAAAGAAAAATACCCAAAACACCTAAACAGACTGAGGTTTTTGTAGTGACAAAAATCCTTCTAAAGAAAAGCTGAAGCAGAAAACAAAGATGACACCAGATAAAAACCCAGTCATTATTCGACAGTTTCCTTAAGACGTGGGAACAAGGTACCTCAGCCTCAAAGCTGTAATATTGTCTTGCGCTTTCTTCTTAACAAAAATGAAACAGGGTTTGCTTTCAAACAAGATATGAGTCTTCTACACAAACCCTACCATCTACTTACCATAGGCTTTGGATCCCTAGCAAGCCTCTCCCTTCCATATATCCCAGTACTACAGAACAGCAAGCCAGCGTCCATGCTTTCTCAGACCTGAATCCGAACATATTTGATGGTAAAATTAAGGTATACATATGTGTCTAGAGCTTCCAGGAGAATATAACTGTTCCTGTGCGTCCCGAGATTTGGGAGATGTTTAAGCCTGCAGGCTGTATATCACAACTTCTTGTTCGTCAGGGGCCAACTTGTCAACAGATAAACACGTATCACATACTGACAAGAGAACTGCCAGAAGGAACACCTCGGTCCCCAGAATACCAATACGAAGCTGGAAGATCTTCAATCCATTTCAAACAGCTCGCTACGTCTACAGTAGCTGCAAACAGTTCAGCTAAGTAATTTGCACTCTGCATACTCTCTGTAGGAATATTAAGCAGATTTTTTTCTTCGATTATATAGACCGTCTGAAAGCTATAGGAATGAATCCAAATGTGAAGCATTTGAACCAAGTCTGTGAACCAGCTGAGATTTAGGGAACCTTTTATTTTTGAGAGGAAGTCAGGCAGCTGCCAGAGTTTCCATTTGCCCATTTTCTAAGTGTAATGCACAAGTCAAAAGAATCTGCGGGAAAAGTGTGGCTGCCTGCCACTGAGCTCTCAAAAGAAATCATCTGGTGATGTGAGGTGGAAGACAGCGTTCATCATTAGCAATGCAAACGAACAAGAGTTTAGCTCTGCTAGCACTAATTCTTGACCACCTACTCTTTTTCTACATGACTAAGCCTATGGAAATAGCCTGCAAGAGATGCATTGCATTTCACTTTTTAAATGCTTACCACTGCAAACATTAGCCTCTACAGAAGACATTTCAGGCTGAACTGAGCGTGCAGTATCCCTGTCACCCTCATTGCACTTCTGTTTGTTCCTTTAAGGCAATGAACTCTCAGATCAGCGAGAGGTCAGAAGTTCACATATTCATGTCCAGTCTGTTACAGAACAGTTTGCTCTTTGAACGATTTCAGGGATAATTTAAGGATCTGTGTATCTCAATTAACTCTACACTTCAACTACACTACACGGACCATACACAGGACTAAAGTTAATCTGCTTTTATTCGGGAAAACAACAATTCAGAGAGGTGTTCGGTCATAAAAACACCCACACCTTAGAGACTAAGCAGCAAGCTGTGGAGACTTCACAACAAAGCTGCTAAGAAAGTAAATGGTAAAATCCTGGGTGCTAACAAGCCTCTTTCAACCAGAGGAGCTTGAAAGTGATGCAGAACTGAGGAAGGACAGGTAACTGTGGAGGACCACAGCGAGCAGATATTAACAATACTATAGCAGAACGTGCTGAAGGCTGAAAACATCTATTCCCACGCTACCAGAATAAAGATTCAGCTGTTAAATACCAGGTACATTCCACACCTTGACTTGACTGTCATCTTGTACAACTCTGGACAAACTATTCCAGCTGCAGTTTGAGGGATTTTGTGGCTATCAGAAGGGGTTTGTCCCATCCTTTTCCCCATCGTAGCTCTATTCGCTCCCTGACCTGGTTTGCCATGTGGCAGCACAGTCACCAGCGCCAGCAAGCAAGGGGCCGGGGGACACACTGTCCTGAGTAAGGGCAAGATTGACCCAGTTAGTGAAAACCAGTAGTTGTGGCAGTTTAAAGCAAATACAGGATACAGCCTCAGTGATTCAGGACAGATAGCACTTCTCTCTGGCAGGTGCTGGGAGGCAACAGAGCTTTAAATGGGTACAACAGCTGAAGACAGCATAAAGAATTGCAGGATGGGAGAAGGAAGGTTAATGTATTCAAAGACAAGCAAAATCATTAAGGATGAGCAACAGAGCAATGGGAGATGCGTACGCTGGCATTTGACTTCTGCTAGCTAGGTCCTGGATTAAAAGGAAGCAATATAAACATCCACACACATATTATTCTGTCCCTCAGACACGGTGACAAAACAATGATGCTGCTTGGAAGACTCTCCTGCTAAGTTATCCAGTGTCTGTTACTAGAAATACTTAGTTCTGTACTTGCTGGAACAAAAAAGGATTGATAAGACAAGCTACAGCATTTCTCTAGTTTGCTTAAGCGATATTGAGTTCCTCAGCCTCCAAAAAGCAACATTATTAAGAGAATCAGGGAAGCAAGATTACACACATCAAATTTGACAAGAAGCAAGTATCTGTTAGTCAGACAGTACAAGTCCTACAGTTTTCTACCAGGCAAGTCCTTTGCCAGTACTTCCACACCTGGAAAAGCTGAGCACTGCAGACAGCAACCCCAGTCTCAACGTACATGGGGAAACAGAAACACTATCTCAGCTCAAGTCCTAGGGGAAAATGCTGGATAGAATAAATGCAGTATGTTAAATATTAAGTAGTAAAAAAAATTAACATATAATAGCTCAAAAAAATGAGGCCACAAATATTCACTTTATTAATGCCCAAGAAAAAGAAGTCCATTTTTGAGGGAACTTTTTCAGCACATTCTAAACTTCTAGTGAAATTCTATTCAAGAAACCGCGTCTACTACAGCCTGCAATGAAGTGGAAAGAAGACGGCCTCTAGGCACTGATGAGATTAAGCCATAGCCAAGGCAGCAGACCAAGGCATTGATAAAATCATCACCATCAGCCCATAGCACCCCTCTGGCTCTCGGCAGATCCTGCCTCATATTGGTGGGCTCATCAGCTCCCCCCAGGCACTGGAGTCTTTGAGAAATACTGCAAAGACAGTTAACAGCCAGCCACAGCTCCCTGCTGCTTTCTCATCCTGCAGCCCTCACTCGCCCTTAAGATTCAGGAGGAAGCTGCCAGTTGCAAAATGCCCCTGCATTGCAGGAAGCTGTTCACACTCTCATCCCAGCCAACAACACTACATTGTCTCAGGAGGGCAAGGATGAACACTGGCAATTCTCAGCCTCAATGCTTGTAGCTGCTCAGGGAGCTCAACCCAGGGCAGAGCTCAGCTGTCCCGTCTATATAGTTGAGAAACCTTGAGCCAAAACCTGTAGAAAGCCATTTACTGCCTTTTTTGACAAACTGTTGCAATAAGTTCCCTAACACTGCACTTGGTTGAAGCTTCCTCACAAAGAAACGGTGATTTTCATGGAAGACAATACTTGATTTTAAAGCTATTGTTTCTACCATATCCTGAGAACCATTGCAACTTTAGTGGTACAAATCACACTGATGGAGCCAAGCAGGTTACTGGCATCTATCTAAAAGATATTACTAAATGACTGATTAGTCCAGAATTAGAACACACTTCTCTGGTGCCAGACATCCATGAAATTGGTCCACTAAGCCCCTAACTCTACTGCACCAGACAGAAGTTTCTCTTCTCATGCCAGTACAAGTTTCCTATGAAAAGCAACTGCATGTAGTCAAAAAAGCACTACACCCCCAGCCAAGAGTACCTCTGTTTATCGGATTGTGACCCAAAAACACTGCACGGGTATTCAAAGACGCAATAGCCCAATTCTTTCTGTATCCCATTCTATCAACAGAAAGTACATTTCCCCCATTTTAGGAGCTGAGAGCTGTTCACACACCGTGCTTTCAAGTTGAAAGTTACCAAGTAAAAAAAGTAATAGTAGTTACAATGAAAGCGGCTGTCAATGTCCTGCTCCACAAGGGAAGACAGGCTCTGCCTCCAGTCACTGTGACAACTTCTACACCATTCTCCAAGGACTACTTTCCATATAAGCAAAACAGCATTCTCATTCAAACACAGCTGAAAACTTCCACTGAAACAGCAACTAGGTGGCAAGCTCTAACCAGAAACCATGATATAGATCACTACTGAGAACTCAAGATCTATGCTTCCCTACTCACCACTCCTGTGACTTATCTGATAGTTAAGCCCACCTTCGCCTTGCCAGCCACTTACATGAAGAACTTATCTTTACGCATTCTTAAGTGCACCATATCATCATCACTGGGGAAAAGAGACTCCAAAAGTACCAGTGATAAGAGATTTCATGGCTGAATTTTTAGCCTTCATCATATACACGCTCACAAGTCCAAAAGCTGATGGTACACCACAGTAGATATGGAACAGCATATGGACTAGCCAATTCTACTACTAAATACATTAATATTCAAAGCAGTAACATTTCAATGCCTTTTTTTTTTTTTAATATACCAGACCCCTTTGATTCTCTTACCATTCACAGCTTTTTCTATCAGTTCTTCACAAGCATCAAAGTCTCCCTTCAACACCAGTTTGTCATGCAGGTCTGTCAGCATAGGGTGCTCCAGAGCAATCTTGGTTTTCTTCTGCAGCGACTCAAAAGCTTCGGTGTAGTTGTGCTGACGAAAATGCTTTAGGCAAAGGCGAATGGCTTCCTGTTCACGGTACTACTGGAACACAAGAAAACCTATGAGACATGTAGATTTTTCTTTTACCAGCACTGCTGGGAGCTACCTGTGAACCTGCCGGGAGACAGAAGCACAATCTCTTACACACACCGCACAAATTGCTCAAGAGCTTACAGAGGAGCACTGTAAGAAAGACGTTACAAGCTGTGCAGGCATTTAATTTCCAACAGTATAGAAATTATAAAACTTGATATCATCCAATTTAATAAGCATACAAGAAGAGAGTGCACAGCGTCCCAGATCTCTGGAGCGACCATTATTTCCCCCCCATCTGCTTGGCCCTGTCGTTCGAGGCCTAGGCGGAGGACAGAGCAGGAAAAAGCCTTCGCTATCAGCCTTACGTAATTTGATTGTATGACTCTTACATAACAAAATAATTTAGAAGAGTAAAGTAGGTCACAGCTTTTCTAGAAGCAGAAGGAAAAAAAAAAAAGCCACGAGAACAGGAATACTTGCAATGACCACTGCTCCTGCAACGGAAAGGCAGGAGGGCAGGGCTGACCCCAAATCCTGTGGTTTCAAGAGGGTTTCGGATCAACGGCGGCGAGGATTTACACACATGCCAAACTTTTGCCTTCAAATTATTCCCAGCAGAACCCCTGCTTTCATACCGCAGGTGAGCCAAACCTGCCTGTTTCCCACTCAGCTGTGGGAAGGGGTGAGAAAGGCACCCACGCTGGGTCAAACATCCAGGCACAGAAACGTGAGGAAATAGTGAACTCTGTGTAACAGCTACAGCTCCTGCTGTTAACCTACCAAATCATCCACTGCGTTTTCAGAGCCGCTAACAATATGCATAAGTAACACAGATTCTTAAGTTGGTAAGTAGCAGAACCACTTGTTTTAAAAAAAAGACTCTTCAAACCTGAATGCTAAGGCATTCAAGAAAAAAAAAATTAATCTCGATTTCCATCTTTAACACATATCTACTGTGGTAATAAACAAATGTAACTTAAACAGCTATAAGACTGGTCAAATCACAGACAAAAGACTTTACTCTTAAACGGATACCACTGCTAAAAATCAAGTTTATGGTATTAAATGAACGGAATCTTTCTAAAAACCTGGAACTAACACTAACATTCAACAAAAACTAGTACTCTCGAGATAATGGCTCCATAGCAAGAATCTCATAAACTGAAGCAGCTAAAAAGAAACACGGCCGTGTGCTATATTTTTAGTTCTTAATCCATCAGTATTTCGCAGCTGCAAATAGCCAGAACTATGCATTTTTAGAAAATCAGTTCCCAGCCCACATGAAAAAGGCCAAGGACATGTACCGATAAAAATGCAAGACTGTGGCAAAGGAATATTAAAGCTAAAACAGAGTTTTACAGCACAACAAAACAAAAAAAAAAAAAAAACCCCCCCCCCCCCCCCCCGAGATAACTAAAACACTGTCTTTAAGCAAATGTTCACTTACATCAGTCAAGGCCAAACCCACATTAGATTTTTTGTGATCAAAGGGATAGCCAGCAAAATGATAGCTGCACACCAGTAATAACCAGCTTCGGCACTTTCAGCTCCTCCAGTTTAGATGTTAGACAAAATTACGACTTGGTGCATTTCCATTGAGCCTCTCATGACTGACAGACTTGGCTTACAGACTGTTGGATGCAGGTTGGCCACTCAGTGCAATATAAAAGTTTGCATTAAAGTGACACCATAGCATAAGTAACGAGGTTAAATGTAAAAACCTTTTCTATGCAAAAAGTGTATAAAAAGTAGAGAGAAGGCTCCTTTTTAAATGCTGTCGTACAGGTTTAAAAAGATGGCAACCCAAATAACAGCTTTGCTCTGAAGCTGTAAATAATTCCTATGGTTAAAAACATAGCATGAACACGAGACTAAGATATTAACACTGTCAAATATACTAGTATATTTAAGTACTTATTATCAAAACCAAAAGGGATAGCCACTGATAAACTGCCACTTCTTAGTTGCTGAAGTATGCCCACTTTTCCGTAAAAGCAAAGTGGTAAGGCTTTCAGGAGGCAGTAGGCTGAGCAGGATGGCAAGGAGAAAGCAGTAGGGAGAGAACTGAGGAACACGCCTGCTGCTTTGAGTCCTTATCTGTTACCCCCAACTCCACTCCCTTCGAGAAAGGGACGCTCTGTTGGTTGAAGCACACACTACAAAAAGGATGGGCAGCTTCATGTAGAACCTTCTTCTCATCTGACGTTTTAGGCAGTGAAGAACTATTAGATTTCAAAGCCGTTGAGACTTTCAAGAACATGCATGGAAATATTCATACCATCTCAAAGAACTAGAATAAACAGGTCAACCTTTCTGCCTTTCCCCAAATATGGGTCAACACATATCCTCCTATGTGGATCCAGCAACAGTGGCCTCTCAGGACTGTGAGAGAGAAGAACATCAGTGAGACATGTGCTCATCACCAAAAACTTGGCAACTGATCCTAGTAGAGCCCAAACAATCATGACTAAGTCTCTGCCTTGCTGCTTTAGGGCTCTAAGCTTTAGAAAAACAATACTGGCACCCCTTAAAGAAGCTGTCACTACATACACACTGACCATGAAAAGTGTCTATTCCATGGGATAAGACTGAACAAAGCAGATGCTGACATCATCATCAGACAGCTGCTAACCAAAAAAAAAAACCAAAAATCAGAGCTTCCTGGTTGCAACAACTGGTCAAAAATGCCAGAGACACCACCATGTGCAGAGACTGCAGAAGGGAGCACAGAAAACTACTCAGCAGCCTCTATCAACCGGACTTTTCAGAATTGGACATCAGTAATCAGCAGACTAATGACCACAATACCACTTTAATCATAAAGCAGCTACAGACAGCTTCCACTGTAACTGTTACTGCTGTCTTTAAATCCTCCATGAAGAAGCTTGTGAAGTTGGTATAAACACGTATGAGCCAGGTAGCACGGCCACCAAGTTTCTTTACCGTTCTGGCAGAAATATAAACTGTTGAGAGAGTCTTGGTACTACCACGCACAACCTTTATCCCCTTTTAAGTTTTTCCTTCTGGAAGCAGAGATATGCTCCTCCGCTACTCAGTCTTATTCAGCTAGGAAGGATATGTTCTCTGTAACATGATATGAATTTCATAAATTGTTCCAGAAGATCTATGCATAAAAACCAGCAACAAAATTAATTTGGCTTGTCAATGTGCACTTCTCTCCCACAGGAGAGGCATCTGTTGTACCCAATTAAATACAGTTTATACAAATAGTGCTTAGAACCCTTTGAACTTTCTGTCTATCAAAGTGACAAATGGCATAAATCATTTCATCGTCCAGTGGCATCAGCTCCCCTCTATTCCACAGTGTTCAGCAAAAAGACAGTAAGAGGGAAACATCAGAAGTGCAAGGAGCTGCAACAGGAAAGATACCAAGGTGGATTCTCTTTAAAACAAGCTCATTTTTATACCCTGTAACAAAAGCTGCATATGTAACCCAAAAGGCTCTAGGCTTACATACAGCTCTACAGAAGGATGGGTATAGTAAAAGAATGACTAATCAAAAGGCAAGAAGAGGGAAAAATGGAATCTGGTTTTGTTAAGATTCATTTCCCTTCCAATACAAATACTATTTTACTAGTATTGTCCCCTTTGACTCAGTGTTCCTTTCTTTTATGTCTTTCTTGTGATGTCTACCTAGCAGGGCTTTTTTGCAGGTTCTATTATCTTTTTGTGGTGGTGGTTTTGGGGGTTTTTTTGGATGTTTTCTTGGGTTGTGTGTGTTTGTTGGTTTTTTTTAAGAGAACAAGCAGATACAATTCAAAAAGATTCACGCAGAGTCTAAGTCAGCCATGTGGTTTGAGTTTTAACCATGCATGTTTGTTGTTTTAATAGCTGATATTCAAGGAATGAAAAGGTCACGTAATTCCAGCAAGAGAAGTTTCACAAGATTCTGAGACTACAAATCTTCAAGCAAACAGGCACCTAAAATGCAGGCCTACCTTGCTGTACCAGTTGAGGCACGGTTGGACCACATCTGGATCATCAATGCCATTAAGTTCAACATACCAGATACTAAAATTGAAGCTAGGTCCCCAGGATAAGAGTGGAACTGGAGAAGAAAGGAAAAGGAGAAAACGGATGCATAAACATCAAACAACCACTGCATTAGTCTTATCAGGCTATGCATAGTACTATTTCAACAGAATGCTTTTGACCATTAAACCAAATTCAGTATTTCTGATCTGACATAAGTTCTAGTTCAGTTAAGTAAGCTTAGGAAAATTACCAACTACGTCATGTTAAAGTAGTCATTTAAAGCAACGTGTGCCAAGCGACATTAACACAGCAGATCATTACAAAGCAGAAGCTTGCTTTAAAGCAAAAGAGCAAAAATACTATCATTTAAAACAGCTCAAAGAGGCAACAAGCTTTGACATGGATGGGAATCACGAGCATACTAGCGACAGTATTTGCTCCTCATGGTACATTTATTTCCACATTTGTCAGCAACAATTATTTTCCCTAATGGTGAAGACAAGAAGCTTGGGTATTTTAACTGTTACAAAATTAGTAACATCTGCAAGTTGTGGAGGAGGGGAGGGAGGGAAACTGTCAGTTTTCAATTTAAAAACTGTATCTAATTTTTTTTTTTTTTTTAAAGTTTAACTCTATGCAGCTTTTTGGCTAATACAGCTTTATCTGTGTATTGGAACAAACATACTTAAAATATTAAATGACCTGTGAAACACTCCATAGCCTCTCACCTAAGGTTTCTCTACCACTCTGCGTTAACATCTATAGTCTTGCACTGATCTATTGATTAACCTGCAGGTTAAAACTTGGTTTTGCTTTTCAGAGCAACCCAAATCCCCAGAAAACCATGTGAACTCCGACTCCTTAAAACTGAAGTGAAATCGAGTGGTTTCATTTCAAATACTTCTGTTTCCTTTTTATTTGACCGTAACTGATGATAAACAGGAAAAGATAATATTAGAGATGAATGAGTAGTTACCAGCAATAGCATGCAGTCCACTACTTCCTCCCTTCCACAGAAACTATTTTTGCCACAGAGAAATTGCTTGTTGTCTTCCAAACCACTATAAAATACCACTGAGATTAACTTGTTGAACTAAGGGTTTTCCGACCTACTCCTTGAGGTAATAAAAACCAAAATTTGTCTTAAAGTTGTTCCTGAGCTCTTAGAGGTTCTTAAGTATTTACACGTCAAACAAACTAGATCTATTATTTTCTGCAATGTGTTTGGGCACTAAGCGTATTTTCAAATGCACGACTCTCTGAATTTTAAAGAGTGTTTCTACGAACCTATTGGTAAAGACTTGTGACAACTTCAGAGAACTCTCACAGGGAGAAAAGATTTTCAGAAAAGATTCAAAGAGACTTTGAATACACATTTCTTCACTGCTTTTAATATCCGTAAGTAGGTACTTCATATGTTACAGCTCTGAAATCATCCTGTTCAAACAGTTTCTTTCTACTTGATCGTTCAGCATACAAAGCAAGATGCTTTCAGGGCGGTTCCTAGCAGGTGCATGTTTGTGGAGAAAGCAGAGAAGTGACCTGGTCAGAAAAACCAAGAGTCACCTGTCTTCCATTCACATTGCATACACTCTGCCCAAGAAACTTCTTTCTTGCTTAGTTTTGTCCTCTGCACAAGATGACTGCTGCCAATACGGTACCTTAACACCCTAAAACATTACTACTTTTAAATCCACGTACACAGACGAGTTTAATCCTGGGTCCTATTAAGGCAGCAGACTGACAAAATACCACATGTAAGGGTAACACCTTTGATCTGTCTTCAGACCTTAACTCACAGACCAAGACCAAACTGAAGTTAAATTTGGTATTTGCTCAGCTATAAAGAATCAAAGTCTATCCATTAGCTTCTTGTACTAAAACACTGAACAAAACCACAGACCACCTCAAATGGACCGAGACCATAAGTTTCCTGATGGTGAACTTGAGGCCAATTTCATAACATTGAGTTTACTGGGTGAAAAACTAAACCCAAGTATTATCACCTTCCCACCTCATTCCAGAAAAACAGCAGAGGTGTCCACCTCTTTTTTTTTGAGCAGTTATTCTCAGAACTTATACCAACTTCTCCTGGAAAAATTTAACAATTAACCCTCTTATCTTGGTAGCCAACTAAAGCCCAAAAGACCTATCAGGATGTGCACAAGAGTTCTGTGTAACTATCACCGCAAAAAAATGCAAAGCTATCAACTTGCTAACACTTCCCTCCCTCCCAAGTTAACTCAGAGCTTTCAACAGTCCTGTTTACAAAAAGGAAACAAAACACCCGAAATGGTGATTTTACCATCAAGATTCTCATGGTACAATCATCTACTTTAAGGAAAGCACAGATATTAAATTGTATAGGGAATGCAAAGTAAATGCTACCCCAGCATTGCACAGGTAGAGAAAACCGAATCTTATCTTTTTAAACTACTCCACAGGAGTAGGAAAAGAAACAAAGCAGAGGGGTTGAAACTGTAACGTGGTTTCTATTCCAGTTAGGAAAGATCAAGTGTCTCACTGGAACATCTCCCCATTTGTGAATCTCTTCCCTGGCTCCCAGGCTACACAAAGGAGACCCCTCTCATCCTTTCCTCTGCCCTCTCCTTTTTGAGGTCTCCACAGGTGGGCTTAGCTCTTCAGACAAAACTCCTCTTAGAGCAGCCACAATTAAACTTAGACCTGGAAGGAGGAGACACTAAGTGCAGCAATGAGTCACGCAGCCGCACAAACAGCAACAAGCATTACTTATCACTGTGACACACAAATCTTATTTTTACTTTTGCACAAAGTTTGAAGGTAACAGCAGTCTAGGATCGCAGATGCAACTCTTTCTTTTCTCACATCTCTCAGTGGCTGGTTTTTTTATTTGTCCTCCCCTTCACTCACTTCAGATTTCACACCGCAGCCTAGGTAGACACAAACCTACTAGAGCCTCTGCAAGAGCTGAGAAACATCCCCCTCTAAAAACCAGTGTATATCCTGTCCAGCAATAAAGTTGCAGAGGCCACACCTTATGCTATCCGCTCTTTGCTATGTTGCTTCCCACCCCTCACCCCCCCATCTTTGAGGTGGAAAACACTACGATTGAAGGTGTTGAATCTGAAGCCTAAAGCTACAGTATTCCTCCAGATTTTACTATAAAGACAGGTTAGCATGGTTTTTTGCTGCATGTATTATGGCAATCCATCCTGAAACACACATAACTGTTCAGACCAGCTGAAGTGTCACTCCACAGTGAGAGGTGCCCAGCAGAGGGGGGAAAAAAAAGTTTAAAAAAAAAAATAATATCCCTTTAATAGAAGAGGAGAGTATTTAGGTCACTTAAATAGTTCTTTACCCACACAAGGATGTTTTCAGGGGATATTTCTCAATAATCAGAAGCTATGCCTACGCAAGGACTGCAACCCTGTGTACTAGAGAGGACAGCAGCAGAGGCATTAAACACAACACCATAATTTCAAATACCTCTCTCAAGCTAATTTCCGTGTCCCTCATCTACAGGCAGTATACACACAAACAGCGTATGTTTGGAAAAATACAGAAAACATCTGTAAATAAAGTACTGTTCATTTCTATTACACCAAAGCTTAAAAATGTTGAAGCCTAGTTAGGAACTCCCATGCTACTAACAAACTGGCATGCGAATTACACCCAGCATTTCTTCAAGCTCTCTCATGGCAATCAGTCTTTACAACACCTTCTGCTTTCAAGGACACAGTACGAAGAAAAATCTCTGCTTGGAGCAACCACAAAAACAGAGCCAGAAACAAAGCTCACAGACATAAAAACCACTGTTCTTCGATATTTTGTCCGGATAAATATCTTCTTTCCCCTCCCAGGTTCTTTAATGAGGTGCTACGAGAAATGTAAAAATTACTTGTCAAGTAGGTCAAAAGCCTGTACAACTGGGCATTTCAGTGCTAAGGAACTGAAGTTGAACTAATTAAACTGAAAGAAGTGCAAGTCTTCTCTTGATAAAAGGGGAAAGAAGTTATTTCTTCTGTTTTCTGAGTCTGAAACTTCCTCTAATATGTCAGCAATGGAAGTTGTAGGACGTATTTTCCCCTCTCACAGATCTACCCATGTCATGTTCCTCCTACCCTGTCCTTCCATATGCACCTCCCTGTTGTGTTATTAACAGTGGTGTACAGGTCAGAATGTTTATTTGCCAAATTATAAAGCAAATGCCTAATGGAAGTCACTGCCGAACAAACTAATGCCTTCTCCGAATACGCAAACCCCACTGATAACAGTAACTTCTGCGGTGTCAGTCTCTAACAGTCCAAAAGGGCAGATTTTGGCCTCATGTTTACTGGAAGCATTACAAGGAACACAGCACCGTATTTCGAATTTTGAGTTACTTTGGCTAGCAGCTTGGAAATTTTAACAAACTGAAAACATTCAAGCTGTGAATCTGAAAAATAACAGAATTTCGTAACATTATTTTACAGTTGTTTCATCGAAAAAAAACATTCTCACAACTTCATAAACAAAATTACGCTAGTAATCAACTACAGCTTATTAGGTCTTGGGGAAAAGATTTAATTTTAATTTCTGTCCTAGCATGGGAATTTCTTCATAGAATATAGCTTAAAGAAACAAAAGGCTAAAAAGGAAAACTTATCTCAAACCATAACTAGTGAGCAAACAATAGTTAAATAAAATCTAATATTAATGTATATAACAGAATGCTTCTTGCTACCTGAGCAACCCATCCCAATAAAATGAGCCATATACCTGTTAATACAACTCATGTCATGTCAGAGGGGAAAAAAAAAAAAAAACAAAACCAAAAAAACAGTAGTAGAAATTAATCAGCATTTCACTTTCCTAACAAGTTTCAACTTGCTGCTACACTTCATAACATCAGAACAGATTTTGCTGGAATACGGTTTACACATCAGAGAAATAGCTAGTGATCTTTCCATTCACCCCTTTAGCCCTCCAGTAACTACTTGCTGTTTTTTTGTCACTGAAAAATAACATTTTCCAAAAACCTAATACAGGAAGCTTCAGAAGACATTAAAAAAGAAGTCAATTTAACTTTCCTGATGTAGTCAACCTTTAACTCTTTAATTATTCCTCTGTTCCTTTTGAGGTTTCCTACAGTCAAGTGTTACAGACACTTCTGAAAGAAATAGCTAAAAAACAAAACCAATGAGCTGAACAACCATTTTCTCCCCTTCTCTAAGAATGGGAAACACCATCGTTTACGGCATACAAATGATTACTAGATTCCCAGCCCAAAGCTTTCGATTCATCAGGCAAACACGAGAGGAGATTCAGAAAGCTGACTAGAAGGTATTAGAGCAAAGGGCTCAAATGGGAGCCCCTAAACAGCCACTGTCATCCACGTCCTGGCAAAAGAGAAAATTACTCAACACTTCAAAACACTCCTAAATTCACCTAAATTAGTCAACAGGATCTTATCTCATTTTCCAGCAACTACCTCCTTGCTCTGTCTTTGACCTTAAACATCTGGTTTAAAACCAGTCATTCTTTTACTATCTCAATAGGTAGGAAGGGGAAGATAAATGTACTGAGCTTTGAAAAGCTGAAAGGCTCTAAGTTCTTGGATTAAATCTAAGCAGTACCACTGACAGCCACTGTAAGACACTTGTTCTCTCTGGCCTGCATGAAGCAAGGAAGAGAGATCCTCACCTGCTCCCATCACAAGTCACAGTAATCGGCCTTGGTTAGCACCCCCTTCAGCAAGCTTCACCAGAGAAACAAGACTGGACATCACAGGGCATAATTCTTCTTTGCCCCTGGATGTCATCTTTAGCCAGAGATGAGACTTCACGATTAGAGTAGCAGGAAGGGAACAAGGAAGGCTATTGCTGTTGCTCTATGTGCTGTGAGGGTGTTCGACAATAAGGCTTGAACCTTTTTCAAACTCTAAGGTTGCAACACTCAAACTTTTACTGGTATTTAACTTAATGATTTTTATTTTTTTCTTTAAAACTCTATATTGCAATTTATAGTAGAACAGTGAGCAGCTTCTCCAGCAATTAATTGACTCAACATCTGTATTTCTGAAAATGACTTTATTGCACTTTTATTCCCCACGATTTAAATTATGAGGCTATTATTTCTTAGTAACAGGACTTCACTGTGTTCCAATCTAACCAGCCTAAAAGATCATGAAATGGAACAGCTATTGTGGATACTTTGCCTGAGTACAATGAAGTCACAAGTGCCAAGATTGGCACAAGTATAAGAAGAGATTATTTTCTACTCAGAATGCTGAAAAAATGCATTTACCTATCTTAATGAATCGACAGGGGAACATCTGTTCATCAATTTTATGCTTCAAGGTGAATGTTTCTTTGTTATAATCATTCTTTAAGCCACTGTGGGAAAAAATAAATAAGGTTACTAAATCTTACCTTGTATTTTAGGACTAGCTAATAAACGCAATCTAGGTCATGTCTGAAATGCGAAGCTTGTTTCATATTACTATGAATCATAAGTACGCATGCTGGACCAATGCCTGGACTGCTACCCACCATGTTATCTCCCTGGGAGGCAGCACTGGCTCATGAACTGACATCAGATCAATGCTGCTGGTCTGCGCCTGTAACCCCGCAACTTCAGCAAGTGATCTGCCTGAACCACACTTCTGTTTTCAAGAGGGAGATGGACCAGCTCCCAGAATTATCACATTGCCAAAGTGCTTTCTGACCCATTTATGGACATTACTTTATAAATTATATTAACAGTTTGAGATTTTTATCAAAAATCTTAAGTCCGTTTTTACCGAAGATGCAAGTACAGGTCCCAAAATAAGGACTGTTATTAAACTTCAATACAATTGAATTGACGTTAGATATTATTTCTATGCTACTAAGACCTCTTCCCCCATCATTGTAGCAGCAATAAAGTCAAATTGCAAGATTGGTCTATCTGAAGAGGGCAAAAGGGTGGGAAGGGTTGTGGCTAGTTTCTATCTGGTCTTCAAGGATACCTGCAACAAAGAACTTCCCATGTTTCTCCATAGCTATTCTGCTTGAGTACAGATGATGTACACCCATACATTCCCCGGAGGTGGACTTTGCTTCTGCAGGCCTCCAAAAATAGGCTAGTTCTTGCTACTCATTTCTCTTGTACTCCTAGATATTTAAATATCATTTCCCTTTCTGAAACAGAAGACTCCTTAAAAGGCCCTTGCAAATTTACATTAGCAACTACTCAGAAGCTCTGGATAGCTTGAATAGCCAAAAGGCTCTCTCTTTACTCCCTATCAGTACTACTACCAAATCAAACTAAACAAAGGAAGACACAGGTTTATTTATACATTTGAACAAAGTCTGAGCAGCTGACAAGTTCAGCTGCAACAAGGTTCTTGACATAGGCAGGTTACTTGGGCTTTTAAAAGCTACTTTAAAGTTACCCACACCTGGGGAATCATTTCTCTTGTGCCTCAAGCACACAGAAGGAATCGCAATCCAACAACACTGCCCTCTGCCTTCAACTCTTCCACATCTCCAACAGTTCGCTCTCCACAAATCCTCTGTGGTTAGAGCAGAATAAGGAAGGCTTCCTGGAGCGAGTGTTGGGATTGCTGCTCTCTGACCTGACCATAAACACAAGGGCAGCTAATTGCAGGATCACAACCACAGCTCTATTACACTGTTAGCCTGCTTGGGAGCGAAGGGGAAGAGCACTTTGGTCCAGCCTTTATGATTACCATAGCTGATGAAATCGCATCTTACCTGGATAAGAGATCTGTCATGTTTTCCTCATTCATCCCACCAAAGACTTTAAACTTCTTTAAATTGCAGACATGTGTTTTCTCATATTTGCCAAATGTGATACTCTGGACTATGGCAGGTCTTTCAAGTTTCAGAATCAAATACTGCAGAAGAGAGAACAGTGAATTTTAATATTAACGCCAAGGCTGCAAAACACGCTAAGTAAGAAGCACTACAGCCTTCAAAAATTCAGTTTACAGAGCCAGAGAATGAAAGTTAAGATGATCCCTCCCCATTATTATATTTTCTCCTTCGTTCCTGGAATGAAGCAAAGGGTTTCAGGAATATTACTTTAAAAGCAGTTTTATCCAGGAAAAAAATTTGGTTGAACTACCTATTCCTAGCATTTCTATTCAGGGCTTCATACATTCCTTCAAGTTGGATGCAAGACTTCCTGAAATCTGGCAAATAGGATCAAACTACAGAGAGCGATGATTCAAACGCCCACTACAGCCTGAAACGAAACCTAAACTGAATACCCAATTAGATAAATACAGTACGTTCCACATACTAAGAGAACATCAAATTACTTTTCCTCTCTGGGCTGACACTATTTAACCACTGAACACAGCCTAAGTTTAATGTGTGGCTAACATTAAGAACCAACTGCTTATTAACCATACCAAATAAACCCAAGCCACTTAACTGAAAATAAAGGGGCTTTACACATAAAACGATGAAAATATTTTCCCTTGTGAACACATGCTCCCTTCTTAAATGTGACCCCCGTGGTGTACGAAGAGTCAGATTATTTATATTCAGGCCCCAGCTACCAGCTTCACCAGCACTGATGAAGGAATGGGTCTATTCCACTTGAAAAGCATACGCAGAAGCACTTGCACCATTTATCGGGGACCATCGACCACCAAGTTTATTTAAACTTCCCTTAAAAAACAGGTCTTGGAGGGATCCTGGAGACATCCTGTTCTGCAGAATACGTCAAGTTTTATACCTGAAAACAATGTGTTTCATTCCCTTCCCTAACTTCTCAGAAATAAGCAGTACACAACAGAGAAATGAGACGAAGTGCAGAATCACAATTACTCATTGTGCTGGATTTTGTTACAAAACCCTGTGATCAAGGCTACAGCACAAGTAGAATCAGCAAGGCGTTGTAGTGGACACCTCCCACTGCAGGCAGTTCTGGTGGCCCTTTCCTCCAAGAAGCAGCACTGCCAAACCAGACATGATGCAGTATTTTGAGACTTGCATTGACATCAAGTAGAAGATTTGCATGCATGTGGCTGCTTTCTGTGGCTCCCGTGTAGAGACTAGTATCTCCCCATAAAGCATCGTGGGCACCACTCTGCTTGTCCTACACAGCTCTATCTATGGGACAATCTTACCCTAGAACTGCATCTTTTGGGTGAGAAGCAGAACAAATTTTCCCATCCATTTAGTTCTCAATCTTTCTGTCATGGCCCTACAAAGCAACTAATTCTGAATCTAGAACAATGTCAGCACTGCTCCTAGAAAGCGTCAGGATAAATGTATGATCTCAACAGCTGGTTCTCACTACATTTATAAAAAGCTTAGCTTAGAAGAAATTCTCATACATACAGCCTTTACAGACGATAATGGAGACTGGATAGGTACCTAATAGAACAAGAGATTTACTGCCAAAGATGTTTCCAGCAACTCAAAAATTTTCAGAATGAAGAAAATAAACCAGTATCAGCACTGCTACGGTACAGAAGCATGCTTTGGTGGGTTTCCAATTTTTATTTTTTAAGAAAAAAAAAAATATATATTTTGTGAATAACAGCAGCCACCTAAACATCAGAACCCACTGTTAGTTTAACTAGCAGTAAGCCATGCTTTTGCCTCAAAGTACTTCCCAAACTTTAGAAAAAACAAAGTTCTATACAGAAAACAAGATTTTCTAAAACAGAGAAAAGGAAAGGATGAGCAAAAGGATGGTCCTGTAATGAGCAAGGCAGTACTTGATACATGGCACAGCCTGCTGCCAAAATTCCCATGCAGAACAGACAGTACGCAACAATGTCTAAGAACTCCTCCTACACCATCATATCATCCCTGCAGCTTTCTCCCGAAACTGAAAAAGTGAAGCTAGCACTACCACCATTAGCAACTGCAATTCTTAAATCTTGCTGGAGTCACAAACCTAATGCTGGGGTGATAAAGACATACTTTCTCAAGTACCACGCAAGATTTGCAAAAGTTTGGCACAAACTTCACCCTTCATTACTCAATTCTTAACCTAAATTAAGGGAGACAAATCCAGAACTGCAGTTAAGTCTTTTTTCTCGGCATACATGCCTAGAAGGGAGCAAGGCATGGCAATTACGCCACGTGGCTAGCAGTGATCTCTTAAACTTACAGACAGGGAAGGAACTCTGCAGCCTTCCTTCCTGCTTCCACACACCTGCTGACTCAGGCAGACGTTACAGAAAATAAGCACAAAAGCTAAAGAAAACCCTTTTGTGAATTAACCTTCTGACGGAAACTAAAGACAGGTTTGCTTTAAAGCCTGTGGCTCAACACCTGTACCTATGTATACTTTTTTATTTTTTGTTTAATACATATACACAGACACACATATATATAAATACATAGATGTACTTTTTGTTTTTATGTAGAAACACACACCACTGCAACTGTGGGTACAGGCTACAAATCACACTGATGTCAAAAAAATACATTGTTTCAAGAGCTGCAAACAGCTGACTGCATGGATATTTTTGGACTGCTACAAGGATTTTAGATGTGAGAGACTATTCTCCATAGCTTTGAAAGATGTGGTAAGTGTACATAAGATCAAGTCATTTGTTAAACCTGGAGAGAACAAGTCTATGAGATTTCAGACAAATAAATACACCAAGTATTTGATGCTTTTCCATCCTGTTGCTATAAGCAACATCAGTACATTTAATGTCCAAGTATTCACAAAGTATTAAAAAAATTCAAATTATAATCTGAATTGTTTGTTCATTAGAAGCATGGCACACAGACACTAATTGCAGTAACTGCAAAAACCTCAGCCTAATTGTAAAGCCTCAAATTACAACACTTCCAAAAAAGATGCTACAAAACCTTAGAAAAGCGAAACCTCTGGTTTACAATTCAAGACATTTGTACGTGAGGATGTACAAAGAGCAGAGTAGAGTAAACGGCACTTCAGCACCTCAACAGCATGTTACTATACACCCCCAAAAAATAAGCAAATCCAGACCTGTCACACTGGGAGCTGCAGCAAATTCCAAGCTTTTTTGAAGCACTGGTCTGTGCTACCATTTGATGACAACCATATGCATGCTTCTGCATCACCCAACTGAGTGTAAATTTTATTAATGTACTTTAAATTAGTTCCTGATACGATCTACACAGCAGGACGGAAATCAAGAGAGGAAAACTGGTCTTCTCAGACGCAAAGCTGAAACCAATTGTTTGGACAGTGCCACTAACTTTATACATATGCTCTTTTAACTGCTCAAAATTTACATCTCCACATCAAATACGGACCAGATTCCAAACTGCACTACGCAAGCTGCCTGTGCAATTAGAGTCACACTGTATTTTATTAATTTCTTTCTCTTTAACCATTTCTGCTCAAATTTTTTTTATTAGAGCGTAGTGAAAATTGTACTGCAGGTAAAAATAAAAACACAAAATATCCAAGAAACTTGACAGGGAATGCACTTCTCCACCTACCCATTGCTTTTGCAATTAAGCTTGTGGCTAAATAAAAATCTATCCTTTTGTTCTTTATATTAATCAAGCTACTCAGGGGAATGAAATATTATTCTGCACACGGTCTTCCAAGTCATACCATCACTGGAGCCATTAGGATGAGCATTTATGACAGGGCCGTGGTCTCCAGCATTACCAGCCTTATAGCTTCACACTTCCTATGTAAGCCTAGAACTAGTTTAAAAATAGAACGATCAGCCTTCTTCTGCCTGAATAGGTTACTACATAACAGGTTTGTTATTGAATATATAATTTCTGGGTCATCTTTCTTGAGTCTTGAAATAGAATATCTAGTTTAATAAACAGAAAAACAGCTGTCATATGTATTTCCTTTCACTGGCACTCATTCATAACCAACTGGTGGCTTTCATGGACACAAGAACTGTTTAACTCTACTATACCCATAAAGCTAGGAAAACCCTTTACTAAATATAGTCACACGTGGCAGCACTCCAAGTGCCTACACTTCCACTTTCATTTTCTTTCCCTTTTCAAAAAGGTTTAATACAGACTCCAGCATATTTACTGCAAAGCATGGATCTTCGTTGAGCTACTGACCACATCCTCAGATTTTTAGCTATGTTCTTGATTCATGCTCATCCTAGGCAAGAGGAACACTCTGGAAGAAAAGGTGCCTGGAGAGGTTTTATTTCACTCAACAAGGGAAGGGAATAATTCAATGCTTAGGGATTCACACATTTTTACCTCTAAGCCAGCACAGCACCGTCACGCTGGGAGAGAATTACTAAACCCTTACATTCAGGTGAGATGCTCTGATGAGACAAACACTAGCGATTAGGGTTGCAGAGCTTATTAAACATCTCATGGCACGTTCCAGTGAGCATGACTGACGTTAGTCCTTGTGTCAGGCCTAGCTAACAAAGTTGGAAACAAGGAAAGCTTTATTTTACTGAGTTTTGGTTCACTTCCTGTCCCGGACTACTATGGCCGCCCACACAGTTTAACAAGTGCGTCACCGCAAAAGTGACCAATTTTTAAATGAAGTGATGCCAACACACAAGCCATAGAATGTTTTACAACTTCATTTTCCATAAGATACATGGTATTTTTTCTAGGGATTAAAAGTGATGTGTGCATATAATTTTTTTTATATGAAATATCCAAATTCTAACATAAAGCAACTAATTTCCCCCTCAACTTCTTTCCTTACCACACTTATAATTCAGTCAACCACTATTTCAACTGAAGTTTTCCAAGCTAAGAATCTGCCTTAAGAACTTCAGCCATCTGCAAGAATGAGGAAGCAGAAAACTTGTATATAAGTTTTATCAGCATTAAAATGTAGCAGTCTTTCAATTGGCAAGGTACAAGAACTAGCTATTTTGAGCAAAATGCAATGAAATCTGAAGTTCTTTTGTCAAGTATGAGATGACACAATTTGGAACTGTTTCTCTGTATACACACAGAAATAACAATAACTGCATTCTTTGCACACAGGTCTCTTCTGGAAATTTTTATTTTCCATTCCGTCTTTCCGGTTAATTTTTCAACAGAGAAGTTACACTGTAAAAAAATGCTTTACATGAATAATTAAACACTCAGGTTAGAAGCATAAGAATTAGCTAAAGTACATATTAGAGACACTGCAAATACATCATCTCTCAGCGCTCAGGATTCAGCTTGCTGAATACACGAGCAACTATGCAGCGCTTTATAATACTGGATACAGGGATCCAAGTAGGAGGAATCCAGCAGGATGGCCTTTTCCACTTAAGCAGCCAGCTCTTCTCTTGGTTTTGTCTTTAAATAACACTGAATAAAACTCAAATACTGTCTTGTCAGTCTCAGTTGCCACTACAAAGACTAACTTTTTGCAAGTCAGATTGAAGGACCTCAAATCTGGATACCTCATACAGGTATAGTGATACATATATATATGACATAGATAGGTAAACAGAGATGGGATATATATGTGTATATATATCAACACATGAGATATATAGGTACATATATGATAACATTAATTCATCTTTATCCTACTACAAAGTTTGGCTTAAATGACTTGCTTATCATGCAGGGCAGTGCCCAGTCCTCCAGGATTGGATTCAGTAGTTGTGCAACAGCATCTTCATTCAGGCCATGACCAAAGCACGTAAAAATGCCGGAAGACATCTCTAACACGTTCACATGGTTCATACAGAAGTCACTCTAATTACTCCCTGCTTAATCTACATGCCTGAACATAACTTGTATCCCTGCTTGTCAGCTTTAAGCATAGGTTGAGAATGAGAATATTCTAAATATTCATAAGAATATTCGAGAACATCCAGCTACAACAGACGTATTCCCATTCCAGAATCAGGTTTTTAAAAGCACAAAATACTCAGGATGGCTCAGAAAATGAAAGAGCAGCTTCTAGCAACAACTAAGAGCACCTCAGGTGCAAAACCCAGTCCAAAGCTATGCCACAAGCCAACCTTGCCTTATGAACATGAGAGCCCGAAGAAAAACATGTGCTTCCTGCATGAAAGGAAGCAAAGGATGGCACAGACTGGGATACAATATATGCACAATACTCATTACCCTGCAGTCGATAGTTCCTAGATAGACTAAAACTGCTTCAGGCTATAGATTAAATTTCTATGCTGTTTATCAAAATATTTATATGTAAAAAAACCCAAATTAAAAGAGCAGTAGGCACACAGAGTTGTCAAGAGGATGAAAATCATTATTCACAAGCAGGCTTATGAAACATCTGAATGGAATGAACAGGGTAGTTCTCCCTCTCCTCCTAAAAAAACCACTTTCACGGACACAACAGCATAGAACATTATCATGAAAATCAAGTTTTTCAGCTGGATGAGATGAGCTGCTGCTATAGGGAGCTGCTAGTCTAGACTGTAGATCTTTAACACACCTTCAAAGCAAAGTAGCAAGATTTACCTAGACAAAAATTCTGTGAGACTTAACTCATGAGGAATACTTCGATTAAATAAGTAGATAAGCAGAACTTTGCACGAGAGAGATACTGCACAACGCTACTGTGCATCAGTATTTTAAACAAAAGAGTTTTGAACAACCAGTGTAAGAGACAGACATAGAAGCTGATCAAACAGTACCAGAGTAATAAGGTATAAATCTAGCATAAAGAGAAGGATAATACGTTTATTGGAGGGAAAAAAGTTAAGTAAAGAGATAAGCATATTTTTTCTGGATAATCAAACAACATCATTAATAGTGAAAAAGCAAATTAGATGCTAAAATCAATACAAATCTTATTTTAATAAGGTGCTTCACCAACAGAAGAGGTGACATTCATGTCCCTTTAAACAGAGTCCTCATTTCTAACTGCACTATTAGGAAAAACAAATACAAGCTCCTCAGATCTAGGATTCAAGGCCAGCAATCTACAACAGTTTCCAGTAGTGCTGACAAAGGGGGACCTGCATGCCTCATTAGCAGTTTAATCTACCCATAAGGTTAAATTATTTCCAGTACGACCACGATTGTCAAGGATGAAATGCAAAACTTCCCCTGCTGAAAAGCATTTCTTGAAAGATCAGAAATAAATTGATGGAAACGTAAATACCTAATGTACAAACAAGCTCTATTTTATTGCGAGAAGGTAGCCTATAAAGGCTGTCAATATAAATAATAGCAGCCTACATTTAAAGTAAAAACTCCAGTATATATTAAGTTGTACAACACGGCTATACAGTTGCAGAGATTCAGATGCTTACCTGGGGAGGATAATTGCTTTCTGAAGACCATCTTGAGGACTGATCATTGGGCTTGTCCACCAAGATATTCCTAAAAAAAGAGAAGCAAGAAGTAATTGAAATAACAGCCCCGTCACATTTTGCATCTCCAATAAAATCTGTCATACGTGCAGATCGGTAACATGCTCATGCAACTACCTAAATCGCTAGGCAGAGACTAAGGTTCTCCCTCTCTTTTATTAAAAATTTTCTACATTGCTATTTTACAGGACCCATCAAAATACGCCTCCAAGACTTGTGGTTGTGAAATAGAGCTCCAAGTTGTGAAATAAAAAGGTCCAAAATTGTGAAATAAATGTAAAACAGATGAATTTATGTAGGCCCAAGTCCACAATGAAGTGGAAAAAAACGTCTCATTCACCTCAGTGGGGCAAGAACTTTTCATTAAGGTTAAAATGATGAGCAGTAAAACAGTTAGAGAGCCAAGAACTGTCCTTTACTAGACAGGCGATACTGGAACAGAGAAGCAAGCTGCTAACCTACTTAAGCTTTCTTGGAGTGTGGATGATGACCATCTAACTCATGCCAAACTTTAACATGTATTTTTCATATGAGCTACAAGCCTAGAACAACACACAGGAAAGCAGAAGTTCAACTCTTTAACCAGCAAAATTACCTCCGAGTTGCTTTCTTACAGTTTGGAATAGCACAGCATTTAGGAAATTAACATAAATTCAGAATAGTTTTTTGGCTAAAATGAAACAGATTCATCATTATAGTCATACGAAGGATTTGCCTTCCCCTCTCCTATAAAACCATGTGGTAAAGTTCACCTCCCAGATTAAATTGAAAAAAAAAAAATCCCTAAAATATATATAAATATTGGCGAGGTAACAATGCACCACCTGCTGGACAAGGCTTACGGGCTCTACCACATCCAACTACCGAACTCGCCAGCTCGTAAAACTTATGTAAAAAGAAGGAAGCAGTCATCAAAAGGCTTATGCCATCTCCATCTGCTGTGTAGGAGGAAAAGAACACAAGCATCTGGATTACTACAA